TTTATATATGATATAAATATATATAATAATAATATATATAATACGTATGAATATATATTAAGTATATGTATGTCTGTGCCCGTGTGAGGACATTAAATATATGTAATGTGTATTAATTATTATATATGTAATATATATGTATGTAGGTAGAATATATAAGGTAAATGAAGGAGCAGAGGAAGAGAACAAAATTGCAGTATCTTCATTTCAATGAATTCCATTATTTATAGGCAAATGAGATCAACGAATGCGGCTAAAATAATTAGAACGATTAGCCTACATATATGATTCGTAGCATCAACAGAAGCATCCACACTTCATCAACGCTAGGTATATGTATATAATTTGTGTACATTTTATGACATAAATATATTTTTATATTATAATTAAATTAAAATTAAAATAAATTTATGCCCACTTGTTAATTTTTACCGTTTAAAAAATACTTTCAACTTTCTTATATCCAAACAATTATATATTTAATATTACTTTTATAAAGATGTATTCAAATATAAAATAGAACTAATTGTTGTGCCTTTTATGTCTTCTACTGCTTCTAGCTTTTGGACTAATACATGGCCCTGCCTTTAATATATGCCATGACAAAATAGTTTAAAACTAAAACTCAATGGTCCATCTGTACGCTCATATATATTGAAACAGGAAAGTTCAAAGCCAAAACATATTTTACCCTATGCGAAAAATCTCTTTGAGTAGAGTCGATTTTTATATTTATTTTAATTATAAAATTCTCGTTTCGAGATAATTTAGGAATTCTAATATTAAATAACATTTCTTGAAATTAAATATTTGACATTTTCTTAAAATTGAATTTGATAAATAAGAAAGAAATTCGAGCAACATTATTTTGCTACATACCGAACTGAGTAACTAGGACTTGAACTTAGAATCCATCAATTGGGTTTTGGGATCGAGCGATAAACTAAAACTGTGGCTCACGAAGCTGATAGAAAAAGTCAAAAAATTCTATTTGAATTGAATGTATAAATTTTATCATATTTGTACTTTTCTAAGATTGGGGAGTGAATGGTGCCGATCATATAAAAATAATATTTTCTCTATTTTGGCTAAATTGTCCATATTGCTCTAAATACTATTTAGTTAAAATATAATTAATAAGTAATTAAAAAATATTTATTCATTCTCATAATAATCGACACATTTTTCATTTTTGTCTTCTCGTAACAATGGACACATTTTTATTTTTGGTAAAACTTACGAAATCAAAATATATTTAACAATTATAAATCAACTTAATTAACAATATAATACTCTCTCCGTCTCAATACAATAGTCTTGTTTACTATTTTTGTCCGTCCCAAAATAATAGTCTTATTTCCATAAATAACTATATCATTGTATAACTACGTTTACTATTTCATTATTATTACACAATTGTCACTACCTTTTACACTAATACACTCACAAGGGCAAAAATGTCTTTTACCTATACTTTTTACCCACTATCAATATAATATCAATATTCCTTAAATCTCGTGTCTAACACAACAAAGACTATAGTTTCGAGACGGATGGAGTATATAAAGTCATTTGCAACAAAAATATCCATCAAAATATCTCCAAAATTTTATTTTGAACTCCGATACACAGTTGAAGAGGCTGATTACGAATGCTACATGGGGGCGATCCTGGTCAGAAAATGCTAAAATGGTGCCTCGTATATGGATAATAGAAGGGCGCTTATGCCCCGAAGGTGGCGCCTTAAGGGAAGGCCCAGCCCAATAGGGGCAGCACACACACCCCACCCATTCAAGCGCACCTCACTCCAAGTAGGGGTGTCAAAAGTAAACCCGACCCAAAAATCAACTTGTTTGACCTGAAATTTTTCAGGTTCGGGTTTGAGTATTTCGGATTTGAAAAAAATCGGGTCGAACCGAACCCGAAACAAAAAAAAAATTCGTGTTGTGTTCGGGTCGGGTTTCGGGTTGACCTGATAACCTGAAATATAAAAATCAGGTTAGGTTTTGGGTTTTGTATTTCGGGTTGACCTGAAATTTTTATTATTATTATTTTAATTTATAATATTTATATTATTTTAAATATAAAATAATATAAAAATTAAAATAAAAATGATATTTTTTAGGTCAATTTATTTTTTCTAAAATTTTTGGGTCTATTTTGTGTCGGGTTCGTATCGGGTTTGTTCGAGTTTTGGGTGATCTGAAACTAATTCAGGTCAACCTGAACCCGACCTGAAAAAATTCGTGTCGTGTTCGGGTCTAGGGTTTCAGGTTAGATTTCGAGTTCGGGTCGGGTTCGAGTTGACAGTTTTTTTTTTATCCTCATGATTCAACTCAACACGAACACGACCCGAAAACACGAATTGGCACCCCTAACTCCAAGGGTCTAGTTGGTGTTTGTCCTTTTTATTTTCATTTGAATTGAAAAGGGCAATTCAGTCTCAATCTTTCAATTCATACTTTCTTTCTTTCGACAATAATAAAATATTTATATATTTATATTTATATCAAAATTATTTATTTTTAAAATTAATTTATTTTTAAAAGATATATCAATATATCAATATGTAGAGAATAAAATTTTATATAATACATAAATATAAAATATAAATATATATACAAAAGAAGAATGTAGATTTTTAATTTTTTTATTTTAAAATTTTGCTTACTTGGCACTATGTGAAGAAGAGATGCCTAAGCTCATATGTTACCTATCACCCATTCAAAAAAAATTTATTTTTATATCTCTTAAAATATATATATTTATATCTACATTTAAAACTCCACATCTTTAATAAAATTAGTTTAGTTAATAATAAATAAATAAAAGTATTTTTTATTTACTTATATTATAGAAAATTTTATTCTTTACAAAATAATATTCATATTGTATATATTTTTTCTTGCGACATAAATTTTAAATTATTTAAATACATATATTAATTTTTTAATCATATATATATTGAATTTATTTTAAAAATATTAATATTATTAATTACATAGAATAATATAATAATATAATAATTTATTATTATTAACTAATTAAACATCACTATCTTAAGTACCATGTTCGTACCTAAAGGAATCCATTATTTGAGGACGAAGGGGATATATTAGTAAAATAATTATTGTATAATAAAAATAAGAGTAATATATGATTTTTCGTCCCTTTTATTACTAACTTGTCAGTTTTTGTCAATTTATTTTTATAATAATAACTTTTGTCTATTTTATTAATCAATATGTCAATTTTAGTCTCTCTATTTTAAAATGACAATTTTCATTCTTCATTCATTTAAATAGCTCAATTTTAGTTCTTAATTATTGCTTCCTTTAAAAATTAATATATATACATAATTATTTTTATTTTAATTAAAAATCATACTATTTGTTTTTATCGTAAAAGATAAAAAAAAAAAAAAAAAAAAAAAAAAACACCACCTTAAAATGTGTCAAAAATTTTGAGTTTATTTTTATAATCGAGGTAGTGTATAATTTTTCATCCAAATATTTTATTCTTAATTATTACTTAAATTAATTTATATTATTTTTTAACAATTTCTACGCAAATATTGTCTTTGGGACAAATCGTTTTAAAATAAATTTAAACACCAAATTTAAAAATTATTCATTTAAATAGCATAACTGCAGCTATTTGTCTTAATTAAATTGTAAACTTATGAAAATAAAAGTCTTTTATATATATATATATATATATATATATGATATTAAATGCTGCGACATTTTCTTTTGTTGATAATTACTATAAAGAGAATAATTTTTTAAAAACAAATTTTTTAAAAATAATATATTTGGATGACATGCATATTATAAATATATCTATTAAATTTTTAAAGAAATGATAATTATAAATAAAATCAAAATTATATTAATTGATAAAGGATCAAAAATATCATTTTAAAGATAAATGTAGTAAAATCGGCACAAATAAGAATAAAATGGATTGGAAGTATTATTTTACCAATATAGAGATTAAAATTGATGCAAACATGAATAAAAGAGACCAAAAATACATTCTACCCTAAAAATTATTATTATTTTAATTAAATTAAAAAAATTATAAAATTTAAAATGTATAGTTATATTTTTATTTTTTAAAATAATATTGTGTGTGACTAGTCAAAATAAAAAAAATTAAAATAAAATAAACATTTTACTTGAGACAGAAGTAATTTTTAAGAATTCGTAATAGGAAAATTTCTTATTGAGTGGAAGTTTTCCCGCAAACCTTTGCCATATTCGCTATTGACTTCAATAACGGTGCTGCTTCCATAGGCATATAAACCAATTGTAACTCATTCTGTACAACTTCCTCGACTCTGTTTTCTTCATCTCTTGATTTTCATTATCACCAAACTTATTTTTCAACAAGAGTAAACTGTGTGTTTTTAGTCCCGTAACTGGACTCCCTGTATCAAACTAGTCCCGTAAGTGAAAAATTTCCGCTGTTTTAGTCCTCCAGCGCTGAAGACGCCCGCGTGGCTCGCCGGAGGTGACGTGTCCGCCAGGTGTCGAATTTTTTTAAATTTTTTTTAATTGGACCAAATAAAAAAATACAAATAAAATTAAAATAAGTTTTTAAAAAAATTTAAAAAAAAAAATCCACATGTCCGCCAGGTCAGTTGACACCTGGCGGACACGTTACCTCCGGCGAGCCATGCCGGCATCTCCGGCGTCGGAGGACTAAAACAACGAAAATTTTTCACTTATAGAATTAGTTTGCGACAGGCTCCACTTACGGGATAAATTGTCCAGTTACGAGACTAAAAAAACAGTTTACCCTTTCAACAATATATATATTTAAATATTCTATATCTTATTTGACCGTATTTCTAACAACTTGATGTTAGTTCAAGCATCTCAATAAAAAAACTTAAAATTGCAAAATGGATAGTATCTTATCTAAAAATGAAATCGATGAGAAAAGCTGAGCAGTTAATAGAAAGAGAGAGCGATTCAAAGAACAAAGAGTAGGCAACACAACAAATGAGAGAGTCGACTCTATTCATTTAGATTCCATAAAACAATAACTAATGTAGCAAGTCTATACTCATTTCAGCAAACCAACAAATTAATCAATCAAACTTCATGCCAATATGTTGTATCAGTGCATAAAAAAAACAACAAAGTAAAGCAAACGTACCAGTGTCTAACCAAAACCATTTCAAGCTAGTTAGACCACAGAGAGCTCAGTTTCGAGGCCAGCTTCGCACTCTTGTAGTCATCCCGGAGCTGAATAAACCTGGTTTTACAGTTTTATATGTTCAAGTAATGAGATGACCAAATATAAACATCGTATTAGGACCGCCCATATGGTTTTACAAATCTTAGCAAAAGGATTATCAAAACCAGGACTAAAAATGCAAGTACAAGTATTCGTTGCATACCTTTGTGCATCTTTTCGGATGCTTGGTGTTCCCTCAAATAGTGATGACAGACTCTCCGGTGCAACGATGAAGACATTGGCCATACTGAAAAGAGGTTATGGAAGTTAATAAAGTGGGAACATTGGAATATTTTTCTTTTTTTACCTTTCTTAGTTGGAGAGGATGTGTAAGTTACTTACATCCCCAGTAGCTCAAACTTCTCATCTACTGTGGGAGCATTAAAGCTTCGGACAAATTCTCCATACTCTGTTATGTCACGTTTGAGCCGCAATCCTCCACTGCAGACACAACACAATGAAAATTACAGTGAAATCAGCATCATATGGGCACTAAATTTCATCTATTTTGACCAGACAATGATTAATCTCCACTCAAAAGAATAACACCTTTCTATAATAAATCAAGAAAAAGAGGCATCTACTAAAGCTTTCTGGAAGATGGAGATCACCGGTTACCTATCCTAGAAATTAATGAAAAAGATAAGTTGAAAATCGAGTTACTAATTTATAAGATTCCTTGTTGAAAATACTGGAGTGATAAAAAAGAAAGGATCCTGTTTTCATGTTTCCCAGGTCAAACTCTACTGGCTGAAATACTCCTTCTAGGGTTGAAGCTGGACTATTGCTCGAGTTCTATCATTCCCATGCATTTCGCATCTTTCAAGGAACGAGTAGTCCGTACTTATTTCAAAAGACATTTATAGTATTTTTCCATTTGCATAAATATAAGTTATGCTCCACGATAAATAGACTGGGTAAGAGAGCAAAATGATCTCAAGGAAATCCAAGGCATGGGATCATTCGAATGCATCTGAATGAGCACACAAAAGATCTATTTTAGCCAAGGCACCTTGAAATGGTAGAGTATTATAGTTCTCACATTACTTAGTAACCAATGTAATAAATTGATTCAGATTCAGAGGAATCATGGCACAGAATGAAATTAGAAGTATTTTGCTACCGGTACACATATCTGAGAAACAAAGAGTTCCTTGAGTTGAGTATTAGTTGATTTGATAATGTACTTGTTAACACATAAAACTCAACCCCATTTCTTGCAACCACTCTATAGTCACAAAGTGAAATTATTACCAATCATTTGCCCACACCTATCCCCGATCAGGGGAAGAAAACACTCAAAGAAAAGATGAATCAAGTGTGTCATTAACTCAGGGGCATCAAGTCGATGCTCAACTCAGGACCTATGGCTGGTTTCACACATATGAATTGTGGAGAATCATCAAATGCCCAATCAAACCCGAATCATCAGCCCAAACCAATAACTGACCGTCAAACCAATTACAGGAAGGAATCATAAAATATGAAGATATACATGAGAGATCAGCCATATCTCTGATATATGGTTGGGTAATCTAAAGGTTTATGTTAGACGAGAAAAGAAAGATCAAGTTCACTTAGGGTTAATGGTGGCACAAGATTGACTCTAGAATGGGCTTTTGTAATGTTTTATTTTATTTTATTTCATTTCATTTTTTTGGGACCCCCAATAGTTTTTGGGTTACGTTCCCCAGGGTATGCCTAATGTTTCTCTTTTGATATTTATATAAGCTTAATGTATTCTCTTTGTAAATCGCACAAAATATACTAAGTGAAAATATCAGCTTAGCCGCCCCCAAACATACATCTTTCTAATCGAAAATGGATCAACAAATTCTCGTCTTCTTGTACGTGGGTTTGTGTGCCTTTTTTGCTTTCTTAATTTTCCCAATTTTCACAACAACTATTTATTTTATGTGTCTTGAGTAAATAATATAAATGGATCCATATATATAAGGTCAATCTAGGTCAAACATATATACAAGTTTATCTAGGCCCTAGGGAATCATTAGGGCTGTGTGGTTGCCATCCCAATCCGAGTTCGCACTATGGTTCCAAGAGCTTATATGGTCTAAAACAAGCCCCCAGACAGCGGTATATGAAGTTCGAAAACTTCATGATGAGAATAGGGGGCACAAGAGATATGAAATAGACCACTGCTGCTATGTGAAGAAGTTTAAAGGTCCATGCATCATTCTACTTCTCTATATGGATGATATATTGATAACTGGTGCACACATGAGAGAGATCAATAAGCTAAAGCAACAGATGCCTGAGGTATTAGAAATGAAAGACTTAGGTCCAAACAAACAACAACTTGGGATGAGTATAATTAAAAACAAGAATTGACTCTCTGACACTATCTCAGAAGAAGTATATCGGGAAAGTATTAGAGAAGTTCAACATGAATAGTGAAAGACTAAGCCAAGAACCACACCTTTGGGAAGCCAATTGAAGCTTACCAAAGATCAGTCTCCTAGAACAGACAAAGAGAAGGTAAGGCAGAAATGGCTAAAGTCCTTATGCATTTGCAGTTGGTAGCCTCATGTATGTGATGGTGTGCACCAGACCAGACATTGCTCATCCAGTCGGGGTTGTTGGTCGCTACATGTCAAATCCAGGGAGAGAACACTGAGAAGCTATCAAGTGGATATTAAGGTATTTGAAGGGTACTTCAAAGATGAATTATGTTTCAGATTAGGGGTGTGCATCGAAAATGAAACTAGTAATTCGGATATTTGAATTCGATTTTTTCGAAAAAGCTTTTAAAAAAATTCCGACCAAATTCAACTTCAAATTCATGTTCTCCAATTTCAATTTCTCAATTCGAAATTAATTTGAATTCGATATTTATCAAATTAATCGAATTGAATATAAGTATATAAATTTGAAGTATCATGATTTAAATTTATTAATTTGTTTAAAATATTATACTAATATAATTACATATAAATAAAATAAAATAATATAAAATTATAAATTTTTTAGGTTTGGTGAATTGATGTTATATAAAGTATTTTTTTTAAAAAAATAAAATATATGTATATATAATATTAAATAAAATAATTATTTAAAGTTGAAATCGGTAAATCCGAATTCAAAAATGGTAAAACCAAATTTGAATTATTTTCGAGAATATTGAATTTGGCATATTCGAATATCGTCCGAATTACCAAATTACCGAATTCGAATTCGGTCGGTAAATAAAAAAATCGGTAATTTTGCACATCCCTATTTCAGAGGCAAAGATGTGATTCTCAGATAGTATTTTGATGCTAATTTGGGTGGATGCAAAGAGACACTTAAGAGCACTACAAGGTAATCTTTACACTGGGAGAAACTGCAGTTAGTTAGATGTCTAAACTTCAGAAAAGTGTAGCACTTTCGACAACAGAAGCTAAGTATATAGCCGTTGCTAAGGTTAGCAAAGAATTAGTTTGGTTAAAGAACTTCTTCTTGGAGTTACATAAAAAAATAGATAGATTACTCAATGCACTGTGACAATGAGAGTTCAGTTAAACTTGTTAAGAATTGAATCTATAATGGAAAACGAAGCATATTCGGGTAAGATATCACTTAATCAAGGATTGATGATCCATGAAATTAAAGAACATCTCAAGCACTATAAATCCATCCTATCATGGAAAATGAAGCATATTGGGATAAGGTATCACTTTATCAAGGATTGATCAATGAGAGAACAATGAAATTAAAGTACATCTCAAAGCGCTATGAATCCAACAGATATTTTCACAAAGACTGTGATGCTACACAAATTGAAGTTATGCATGACTTTAGTTGGTCTTCATGAGAAACAATGAGAAGATTGGGGCAATCAAGTGAACCCGAGGATTTTACAGCAGTACAATGGAACACAGATGTTTCAAAGCCTCCAAGTGGGAGATTGTTACGTGTAGGCTTCTTTAGGGGTAGTTAACCCTAATAGGATAATTGGAATTTGGGCCCAATTCTGATTAACCCTAACGTAGTCTATAAATAATAACTCCTATACTTGTAAAAGTGTGTGCCTCCTCATATTGCAGAAATAAGAGAAATTCTTGGTTGCCCTCGTGGATGTAGATCAATAACTCTTTATCAGCCAAACCACGTAATCTTTTGTGTACTGTTTTCTTGTTTGTATGTGTGAGTTAATCCTAACAATAAGTAAGGTACTCAATTAAGTGTAAATGAAATATTGAAAATATGACTTCTTTTCCTTCCTCTCTTTGACAATATATATATATATATATATATATATTTATAACCTCAGTTGATATGAAGACTTATATTCTAATTTTAGCATAATTAAAATTTGTGCTATTCTCAATCAATTCAAAATAGAACCAAACACACCGCCGTGATGTGCAATGTCAATTATATTAGTTCATGGTTGAAGTTAAAAAACTACATAAGTAATTATTTATATTGTGCATATCTTAACTATAGGTGGTGATGTGGATGACAAGAGAAAAACTAAATGAGAGTAATGTGGATCAGTTTGTATCGGGCGTCAACTTGAGCCACGACATTATAATGGCAATCTTTTCATGACTAGCTTATGAATATTGGAAGAATGCAGCTCCAAAAAGCAATATAAGTGAATTACCTTGGATTAAAAGTGAACTTTTGCCAATGATTCAGTAGAACCTTATGCAAGCGATTTCCCTGAAACCGACAACCACTAAATTAAAATTCCGAAACATCTATAGTCTACACATAGAAAATTTAGAATGGGACCATTTATTTCAATAGTAGGGTAAGTATTTGAGTTTAGTGTTCAATAGTGATTTACAGCACACCTGTACAAGACTCCCAAAGTAGAGGAATCATTTTTGTAAAAATTAACTTAATATGCTAATCGACCAACTCCTTTTGAAAACAATAAAATAAAAATTCATAATTTATGTGTTACTCCTATTCAGCACCCTTTAATATCTTACTGTTATTTTAAATTTCTAAGAGTAATAACCGTACCAGCTCAGTCAGGAATGCTTGTTTGTTAAGACCTTCAAGAGATGTGAATGCAGATTCAAGCACTCGGGATAGATAAGCAACAACCCTAATGAAAGGATAAGTGTCAATATTAGCAGGAAGAGAAAAAGATCCTTCAAGTTAATGCAGTAATGCTACTACTTAAGGATACATCAACCATGCTGGCAAAAAAATAAAAAAAAAAAAGAACAAACATTTTGATGGGTGCATTATGCCAAAATTGACAAATTTAAATTAGTTTGCAGAAATCGAACATGACTGAAATTTCACACCTTGCACAGGCAGATGTAGGCCGATGATCAGGGACAATTCCGTCATCAGGTGACCTATAATCTGTTGATTTTTGTTCAGCTGATAGAAGCCGTTCAACCTTACAGAATTTAGAGGATCAGTAACTTCAGAAATTAGATAATAATAATAATAATAAGTACAACAATAACAACAAAAACAACAACAATAATAATAATAATAACAATAATAATAACAATAATAATGAGCAAATTGGTCCAATCGGTACCCAAATTCAAAGCAATTTAGAACTCATCGCCACAAACCTCAGCCATCACTGTTTCAATGCATTGTTGGAGTCCCTTGTACGCAGAGTCTTCTGCCTTGGACAGTGCTGTGGACATTTCTTCGCAGGCAGCAGCATGCGCACCATCCACAGGTAGTAAAAGTCGGGCGATAGAGTTTGCAAAGAACTGCAAATAGAGCTTGATATGAATAATACAGAGACAAACCCAGACTGTAAATTGAGCATAAATACAAGAGAATAAACATACTTGCTGAACAATAGCGACACTGCTACCACACCGCTGTACAGCAACCATAAAAGATTTGAAACTGCTTTCACCAGCTGCGGCAGCAGCTTCTGCCTACATTTGTAAATAAAGGGGTTTATACGAACACAGAACAATCTTTATGCTTAAATCTCAACAAACCAATATAATGCAATATACAAAAACTCAGCAATATACAAAGAAAAATAATGTGGAGATTGTGGAGTGATTACAGCAGAAGCAGCTGCAGCTGCAACCCTTCGACTGACGCTAGTTCCCAAAACAAACCGTTCCCTCAGTGATGCAGCTTCCGTAAGGCTGTCTCGAGCTCTTTCTAAACCCTCCGTTATATATTGACTAACCTACAGTAGGTAACAGATGGAGAATCCCAACACACACACAAAAAAAAAAAAAATGGAAAGAAAGAAAAGTTATAATACACACAAATAGATTAGTAGTCAGAACAAGGAAAAGGCAAGGTTAATTCACCTGATCCAAAAGGCAAGTAAAAACAGCCCGGACATTCGCTGTTAGGGCTGGAGGCTGCACAATTGCAAGAGAATATCAATAAATTAAACACCTACAGAAAAGGTTACCAATTCAAGCTGACTGGAAGAAAATGGCATTTCATTAAGATGACTGGAAGTTGAAGTTTAACCTGCAGTTCTTACTGAAAAAATGTGACCTCAATATTTCAGGAAAACTGAAGCTAACAGAAAATAACTATCAGGGAAGGAAACCAAACCTATGAAAAATTGACTGTAGCCTAAAATCAATATTATAATTCCAACAGAATCCTTTAATATGTACATTAATAATGAAGGCTTCTGATGTTTTTCTCATACACCATCTTTTTTCACCATTTTCTGGCTGTGGACAAAAGTCACTCTTAACAGGATTGGTATAGAAATGAGACATGCAAAATAAGGATACACTATACATGTCTCCAACAAGAGGCTGCCAAGAATTAGTCCCACCTACCAATCCGCCAGTAGGGGAAATATGCAAGAAGAAAATATAGAAGTTCACAACTCCATGTATATTACCCAAATATACTAATTCAAAAAACCATAGCTTATAATAACCAACATCAGTCTGGCTCACTGTTAAAGCTCAACTACAAATGAGTTCCACAGCACAAACTCTAATGTCAAAATACTGTATTAGAAAGATTATATACCTGTGGAGAAAATAAGGTACATCTAGATACAGCTTCTTCATTCCAGCGTACGAATTCTGTTACAACAGTGACTGATATCTGCAGTTGGGAAGATGATATGGAAGCTCCTTTTGATCGCCCAATCGTCCCTGTTGATTCAGAGGATTGAACACTTTCTGCCCGTAGCTCATCCATCTACACATCAGGCAAACTAATATTAGTCAAACCCGTGATTCATACCACAACTATATAGACAGCATTAAGAAAAGGTTAACAGACTAAATTGCAAAAAGTAAACAATAATGCTCCTGGCAACTTGTTTCAAACCTTTGATTTAAACAGTTGCCTCTGAGACGCCTGTTCATACTCAGCGTATACGTCTTTATGGGGAAGAAACAAAGACTCCGTTAAGCCTGAACAGCAGGTTAAACAAATGTTACATGAATGCCTTTATAAAATCTTTTACCAGATAAAATAGTGCACTTATAATAGAAAATGCTCTAACAATGAGTTCACCCTCACGTCAAATAGCCTTAAAGAGTTCACAGGCTGTTAATGGTTACTGCCTAGAGATTCTGCATAATGGGGTTTTTGCATATCATGTCAACTTGGCTTGGAAGTTTACAGTGTTCACTTATTTTTGTTACAAGGTATGGTCCTATCTATCCATATATATATATATATATTACACTTTTCATTCAAACCATATCCAGCATAAATTCATACTTCATACGAGGCTAATTAATGCACAGTTCAACAGGTTTCCTGTGGATTGTTAAATATTCATGGTCTCTTTCCATGAGCCTTATAAACACCATAAAAAATGCACAACCTTTTTCATAAGGTTGGTTTGTGGAGTGTCACTCAATCAAATTGTGTTCAACATGGATATAGAGTGCTAACTTATGCATTTGTGACTCTCATATTTCCAAGCAGTAACTCTTTTATCAAGCATTATAAATATTGCAACCTTGAATCAAAATATATGGAAAGTACATTACAGATTTAATCATATTCAATATCTAACTAGAACACAAGCAAATACACAAATCCTAGGTATCATTTCATCGCCATTGTTTGAACATCAAACATACCAAACAAAAGTCACAGATCAAATGCATATTATATTATGAAGCCACTTGACTATAGAAAGTATTAAAGAAATTCATAGTTCTACCTTCAACATCCAAGTCACCACACCCCACACTATGTAAATCTCTAGCAAGTTCCTGAGTCTTTTCATAAGCCACTGCAAGCAATCTAAGATACTGAGGACAAAAAAGAAAGTTGGTTAACATTAGCTTATATATATTCAGAGGAGTGAAATGTCATAGATGACACTTACTAATATAAGTCCACCTTCTTCCATGGGAGGAGGATTGTGTAGAGATGGTTTATTCAATAGCTTGTCAAGCAGTTTAGGAACTCGGTCTTCCATTACACGCTACAAGTCAAATAAGATCTCTAAGAAGCTATATTCAGGACACAGTTATTAATAATTTACAGGTTCCTGTTTATGGAACCTCATTTTCTATTTCCAAAAATCATTTGCATAATTCTCTAGAAGCATAACCTAGTATATCTTCATAGATCTTACAACATGAAGGTTTCAGTAAAAATGATGAAACAACAATGAGCGTAGTCAATTTCAAATTATGCATCCGATCCAGAAAATTATAAGTTGGTAAAGTTGTGAAGCCACTGATAACCCTGTCATATAAAAGAAAAATAAAGCAATCAACAATACCTGAACCAATATAGACATGACGTCATTTGGTGAAGGAAACACTGCTCTTATTGTTGCTGCTTCTTTCCGTACAGTATCTGCTAGGCAATTTAACTGAATCAAAAAGAACATTTGGAAACCATACCACCATAAAAACATATGGGATCATTCAAACCTGTGATTTCTTTGTATAAGGTAGTGAGTCCACTTGCTACATTGCTTGGACTTGGTAGAGAGCCAGAGTCACCAAGAACCAAATTGGCATCTGCATTCATGACTTCCAAATCAAACATAGGACGTAGTCCCACATAGTGTTGCATTGCACTCGTACCCCTGTTGAACTGAATTTCAAAATAATAAATGAGAGCATTGAAGGCAGAAATTTGCACATATTACTGTCACTCTAGTGTCCTTGTTTTCTGAGACCAATTAGTACATTATGAAACAATTTTTTAAAAAGGAACTGAGAGACATTTACTTCCATATTGACTTTCACAGTTTCAGTTACCTTATTTGAAAAACGTACATAATAAAAAATAAAATCTAGAACAAGTATCTATAGATAAGATCTATCATACAAGATATTAAACAGATTTCTGGGACAATTTATGCGATTTGTTTGAAGATTAGTTGTCGGTTAACTGCCGTATGTAGATAATTAAATTAATAATACGTATCCCAACTAGCTTAAGCTTTTAGGTGAAACGATCATTTACATCATCTAACATAGTATCAGAGTCTTAAATTTCGAGTTTGAGTCCCACTGTCTCCATCCAACATATATCCACGTGCAAGTCTCGTATATATTTCCTTGCACGTGAGGGGACGGTTGACTCCCGTATGTAGATAAATAAATTAATGATATCTCTACTAGCTTAACCTTTTAGCTGAGGTGGTCATCTACATCATCTAACAAAAGTTAAATATTATTATTATCTAGAAAAATTATCTTCAGATATGATCGACCATGCAAGATCTTAAACAGATTACCTGGGACAAAATTTTTGCACATTCTGCCATTGTAGACAAATCCCGTTTCTGTGAAGCTGCATCAAATTTGGAAAGCAATCTATTTTCCAACTCTGCACTCATTTCAAAAGGGAAGTAATGTCATTCGGAAAGACCAGTAACCAATATTAATCCAAAATAATCAACCAACAAGAAATGAAACATGGAAATCCTTTGAAGCAACTTATCTAATAAAATTTCTTAACAACCAGCTCTAGGGATCCATTTCAATGTAAAACAGTTGATTATTAATGGACTTCGAATAAGTAGTTATAAGAGAAACTCCAAAAGATTCCATATATTAAACTTCAATACAGAAGATTAACTGAAGCAATAGAACCATAATTAGGCGATTCAAAGTATACAAGACATTGAAAACAGTATATGCATAGGCAGAACACTCACTCATTTAAGCAAAAATAACTGTTAATTAAGGATAAAGAAGGCCAATTCTCAAAGTTCTTGGAATGTCTCTACTGAAATCTACATTTTGAATGAAATCATGATGGTTGCTAAAACATAATTCACTACTCATTCCTAGAGAAAGAAATTAATAGAACCTTCATCAGTTTGACACTACCACTATGATCAGAAACTGAAATGATATGCATGCATCAGCATTTTAAATTGCCACAACCTAGCAGTTTTTCTTATGAGATTGTTTGGTACCTGACTATTACACAACGATATACTATTCATGACATCAATAATTTGTGTTGAATTTCTTCGACCAAGTCTAATGTTTGTTCTTCTGTTATTCTAGAGAAGTATAAGGTGTGTGTGTGTGTGTTTGTCTTTTGGATGTTTTGGGCATTTGAATTTAAAATTTTGTATATAATATTTTAAATAGAAATAGGTATTGCATATGAGTTTATGGATGAAAAAGATTAGTTAGAAGAGATGTTGAATGGAACATAGATGTTGGATGTGATATATTTCTTTATTTTTGGCAGGGTAAATAGTTTACTTTAGTAATCGCATAATGCAAAAACAAATCAAAAGCACAGACAAACACACCCTTACATTTTGAAGTCTAGTGTTCCCAACTAATTCGAGACCAAAATGAACTAACGAAAAATATAAAATCTTTCAAGCCTTAAAAACAAAAAAGATAAGGGTACAATACAAGAGAAAACAAATACCTTGTGTGCAAGATAAGACTACAAAATAAGCATAATATTATTAACAGATTGCTGCTGTAGTAAGAAGTCAAGCCGTACTGTGTTTGATCTATTTCATTAGGACCATCAACTTAGTGAGCGTTTGGCCATGTTTTGGGGAGGGTTGAGCACTTTGGATTCAAAGTTCTTTAATGCAAAATTTATTTGGATATGTATTGAGGGGTAATGTTTAGTGTACATTGTAAGATGACCAATAACTGGTTTATTCAAGGTTGAAAATATAAACAATCACACCATACGAATTTATCCCACATTGTGGGGTTGGCTATGGATGGCATGCTACCATTGTATGGGACCGTGACACATTGCTTCCAAATCATGCGAAAGAAAACTTCTGGTTACTGTTATTCCTAGGAAGCTTTTGCACTGTTGCAGTTCATGCTCACAACTAGTATTAACTTGCAAGAAAATAAAAGAGACTTTCAGAAACCACAACAAAGATAACAAATGCACACACCAAATGACAACAAAATTGAGCACAAAAGTAACCCTAAGATATGATTGCCTCTAAAATTAGCTAACTCAAATAAATGCTTTGAACAATGCTATAGATATGCACCTCTGATAATCTTCATAGATGATATACAAAGAATAGGTTATATTGGATTAACTCTATGCTCTTCAACTAGACAGTAAGCTATGCACATGGTCCATCACATGTCCATGATTGGTAGAGAGAGGACAAGGAAAATGATGGTACACGATCATGCCTTCAGATTCAAAGAATGAGATTCAGTCTAGCCAAAAATTGGCTGGAACTTAATATCAGGAGTACTTCCAACGTTTAGCAATATTTTCATGAGGTTTCTAACATTATTTATCAATTGGTGAAGTTATAATTAAAAGCATATAACATGTAATACCATTACAATATTCCTGCAGATTAGCAACAGCTACTTCTAGTCCTCTGCTTGCTGTTGCGTTCCCAACAACTGATGCAGCACCGACACCTTGTCTTCCAATATCTTCCTCAGCAAATGATCCTGGTATCAAGTATGTTAGTGAACCTTGTGCAAAATCATAAATAAACACATCAATAGATTAATTATATTTTTCAAGAAAAAGTGGCATGAAACTTGGTAAGAACCTCCAGGGAGCAACTTTACAGCTTTTGGTATTTTCAAAGCCAAGAATCACCACTGAAGAAACTTGAGCTATGCTCCATGAACAATGAAAGGTAGCTAAAACAAATCTCTTAAGAGTATCATTACAAGGAACATACTAAACATATTCTCACAAGCTTGACTAACATATACCATTAAACACATCACTTCTACAAAGTAAAGATAACACAGAAGTTTCTAATGCAGAGCTGCCGGTGATGGTCATATAACATAGTGCTTATGAAGTAGAATCATTATGATCCAGTTCAGGATAAGGACAGCTTACTTAATTTTTGTGCAATTGAAGCTGCTTCAGCGACCTTACTATCATCGGAGAATAGAGGTGAAAGTTCCATTAGGTCACCCGGGCTGCTATTAAATTCCATCAAGTACTGCAATATGAGATTCTTTCAGTTCACTTAGAGAAAAAATATGGCTAACTATATGTCGACACCACTTCAAAATAAAGAATACAACTCCATCAAAATTACCTTAATGAGATCTATGGTCTGACTGGCAGTTTCTCTCTGAGAATCAGCACTCTGTACAATTTTTTTTTTTTTTTAACAAAAAGAGACTCAAATCTTGGAAGGAATAGGCTTAGAATCAAGAAAGGTAATTGCCTGAAGTTTGGGCCTTTTTTTGATGAAATAGATCGGTTTGCATTCAATTAACAATAAACTGAATGAATGAACAATGAAAAACAAAAGAGATGATGTTTGGAATTTTTACAGTCTTACCTGCAGATGATCTCCTATCTTAGCTGCAGTTTGCCCAACACTGGATATACGCGAGTCTAACCTCGAGAAACTATCAAATAATCCATCAACACCTTTCTCTAGCTGTATAAGATATAGAAAACAAGGCACAGTTACTACCACATTGAATAGATCTATTTATTCCAACCTAACTTGCCTCGGAAAGCGTCTTCCGATGCTTGGAGTCTTGGGAAGCAACTTCCTTCTTTAGGTTGTTGAGTTTGCCATCAATCTGCAAGGAGTTACCCAACTTAGAAAAATTATCTAGCAAAAGGATCACATAAAGATAATCATAAACAGAGTTGAAGAAATTACCTGTTTCCTAAGATCAATCAGTTGCATGCATGAATTCTTAAACAAAGACAAGAGAGCATCTACTTCAGGAAACAATGGGCTGGGTGGTCCCTGTAAGATTTTTCCCATATCTGAAGGAGTTCGCATATGACCATTTGGCATACTATCACTTGCCCCATGCCCTTCTGAAGCATCTGTGTCTTCTTCTAAATAAGATGGCAGGAGTTCATTAACCAAATTCCCAAACAAAGCATCGAATGAGAAGTCACCCTGCAGATTATACAAACACATAGCAGATATAAATTGTCACTTGTGTGAAGTACAGCATCAGGAAGCATGCACATGTTTAAACATGCATTTAGGGCATCACCTTAAAATCATCGATGTTGAGAACAAGCGGATAGGAGTCAATTGATGAAGATTTAGAAAATCTATCAGTTCTCGCCCCACTTCTAGTCTCTTTCATCTGAATTTATGTTAACTCATCAGGAGCTTGAAAAACAACTTGAGCACCATAATTAGTTCACAGAAAGTGAATTCAGATCAAGCAATCAATTTCAAAATGCATGCAAATGCACAAATCAAGATCAGCAGGGATCAAACATTCACCTGGAACCACAAGGTTTGAGTGAAGCACAGAATGAATAGTTGCAACTTTTTATATGTAGTATGTTCTATGCAAACACATTCAGTTCACATTTAGTATAAAACTTTAGCACATCAGGAAATTTGGGTGCTAAATGAGTAAAACAGTGTCTCCTATCCACACAGAATTTATGCAGACTTCAAGGTAGCCAACAAGATGATGTATGACGATACATACCAACCTCGCCAACCTGGTTAAGTTGTTTTGAACTCAGTAAGATGTTTTTGAAACTCAAGAATCATATATTGCTAAAGCAGTCGAGGGATTAAGACTTCAAAATGTCAAACATTTCAAACTACAGCACAAAATGTAATACATTATGAATTTCACTAAATCGTATAGAACATGAGCTGAGATTTATATATATCTACACATACAAACACATATGTTGCAATCAGAATCAAAATATGACTTGGAATTAAAACTGGGTCTAGACATAAATCCTTCTGTTATATACCTCCACATCTTAAGACTAAGAATGTAAATGGGTAAGCCCCTTGTATCAATATTAAAAATCAATAAGACTCGTGTTATAACTCTAACAACAAACTCATAGAAGTCGAATGGTGCTTGTATTTTTGGTGAATGCCTACCTCAACAAAATTTTAGCATTAATAATTAAAATAAAATGAAGAAACAAAATCAACTGAAAGATAAGAATGATTGTTGAAACCATGCAACTTTAGATGTAGATTTACTGTAACTTTACCCAATCACGTTACTATTAAAAATCTCATAACACACAAACCCAATAACTTAAGTGATATTTGGCCTAATTGCACACACTCTTTACTCTCTCTCTCAGTATTCACATCTAGTCACTCCAGCAAGAGCAACTAAATTGCAAATTCACACGCTCACACACACCAAACATAGAGAGTCACTCAAGTTAGAATTGGTTTAACAACACACACAGAATCAAACACGGTTTAGTTCATGTTATTTCCGGAAAATATCTTTAAGCGCACAATTTGTTACATGCTCACACAGAAGCTTCAGCAAGTTTTGCCTTAATTGTGTAAAAGTACATGCTGTACGAGTAACATTCTGTGGTCTCTATTTGATTTTTTGTCATGTCCAAAGAAGATAAGAGGAAGAAATCTCCATGGTATCATTACAATTCTTCCTGACATTAATGAATACATAACATTAGAATTTGTCCATAATCAGTATTCTAATCATAAGCCAAAGGGGCACGACAACTTCCAAAGCGCATCGCTTCACAAAATAACCAAATTCCACTAACAATCGCACAAAGATCACAAATAAAAGAAAGAAAAAAAATCATCAAACTTATCAAACAAAATTCTGAATTCAATCCATCAAATTAGAAACCCTATGACTCCTGGCGTGCAGCGAACCATTGATCAGAAACAGTGTAAATCCCAAGAAATCAAAGGGAAAAAAAAAAAAAAAAGAACTGACCTCGGAACCAACGAGAACAAGAAGCGGCAGTAGGAGACAAAATCCGAACACCAAGGAAAGCGTAGCTCGGATCGGCAAGGTGATCCAAATTTACGTCAAACAGCGACGAATTTCGGGGAAAGAGCGTGAGTGCCAAAAAGGAAATCCACCGCTGCAACAACTGCTCTAATAATTTCGTTTATCTGCAACTAAATGAAGCTGGACGGAGTCGGAACCAATGCAATCCTTCCTCGTTAGAGTTTGACCAAAGCGATGAAATTGCCGTTGAGAGAAGTAACTCCCGACGCTGTAACTGTTTAGCTGCTGGTGGTGCTCCTTTCTAATCTTCTTCTTCTTTCTTCTTCCCCTTTTCCTTTTCCTGATTTGATTTTCCTTGTAAGATGCATATACTAGAATTTATTTATTTATTAGTTATTTCTTCTTAGGTTTTTCCATCCGTCATCGTTATTGTGTTTGTTTCTCCTTAAAATATAAAAATAATAGAGACTTGTTCAATCGGTTTCGAACCGGCGGTTCATCAAAATGAAACAGAAATCGAAACCGATTTTCTCACGGCTCGAAGAAGCTTTCGTTTCTCTTTCCTCCGAGCCATAAACTGCCTGTTCAAATCTGCGGTTTTCTTCTGTTTGAACCGGCAATTTTGTATTATTTCATTTTTCATTTAAAAGTTATAATCACTTTGTCTCATGTAATATGGGTGCATTGTCGTATATACGATAATTTAGATAAAATATAATGAGTAATTAATTAAAAAATATATTAGAAAAAATAATTATATATTAAAATTAAGATAAATAGTTTAATTAAAATTAAAAATATTATAATAGTTAAAAGTTAAAATGCAATTAAAATGTATAATTATATATATTTTTTAAAATGACAAATTATATAGAATATACAAAAATAAAAAATATAGAAAATTATGTGAGACGGGAAAGTATATATTAACCTGATGCGGTGTGAAAACAACTATGGAGCAGATAAGAGTCCGGACTGTGGATGAAGAATTGTGAATGTGAAATGAAAGTGTTTTTGTTTGTTTTGTATTTTGATAGTTTTTTTTTTTTTTTTAATTGTAAGGTATGAAAAATTGTATAAGTAATATAAAAATAAAAAAATATCTATAATATATTACTTACTTCGTCCCATTACAGTGTCTCCCTTTAATCTTATTTAAAAATTTTGAATTTATAATTTTTTTAATTTTAATCAGATTAATAGTTATTTTAATTTTAATATAAAATTATATTTATTATAGGCATAATTAATCTTACTAATACATTTTTAATTATTTACTAATTATATATTTCATAAATTCTTGTGTCTATATTAAAAATAAAGACGACACTGTAATCGGAATTAAGAGAGTAATTTTTTTGGAATAATATGTTAAAAGTTTTTATTGGAAGAACAAAATTTGATAATAATTAGGGAAAAAAGATTTCTTATAAAATTAAAATAATATTATTATTATTAATAAAATAAATTTTTACTAAATAATTATAATTTAAATTATATTTATTATTTAATACATTAATATTATTTTTATAATAGGTTTGTAATTTAAATTTATATTTTAATTATGTTTTATACCGTAATAATCTAATTAATTATTATTATTTTATAATTTTTACACTATAAATAAATAATAAATATATATTTAATTAAAATTAAAATTGAAATTAATTATTATTTTAAATAAAACTTAATTTGGAAAAAAAAAAAAGAAAAAGATATTAAAAATAAATATGTAAACCAGTTATTCAAACTACAAACGTCCGTTTATAAATTGTAATCAAAATAATCAAATTGTAATTGCAACTGTCATTCAATTTTGATTTGATATTTTGATAAATCATAACCGATGATTTGAACGTAATCACAATTTGAACCGTTAACAAATTTATATATATCATTGAAGCTATATATAAATGTCTTATTATTGTAATATTTTTTATTTTAGGCGGTTATACTTTAGGGTAATATTGTAGTGGAGTAAGGGTAATTTGGTCATTTAAACCCAATACTGTCAGTTATACTTGGGATATTTGGTGGTGTTGTGGTTTGTGTTTTTCCAACTCCATTTGTTAATTTTTTGTGATTTCTTTGTAGAAAATATATTGATATGAATATCATTTTGTTCATTGTAACATTTACTTTAATATCATATTTTTTTAATAATTTATGAAGCCTATGACATTTTATTAAATCCATTTGAAACTAATGCAGGTGTTTTCGAATTTGTTGGGCACGCAAAACAAAAAAAAAAAGTTTCACCGACTGGTCGGCTGCTCAATACAGTTACTTTAATACCATATTTCTTGAATAATTTTATGAAGCCTATGATATTTTATTAAATCCATTGGAAACTAATGCAGGTGTTTTCGAGTTTGTTGGGCACGCAAAACCGAAAAAAAAATTCACGGACTGGTCGGTTGCTCAATACAGTTACTTTAAATGAAGTCGGGCGAAGAAAGATGAGATGGCAAATACGGAGGTCAGTCGAAAGAAGGTCGTGCGAAGAAAGATGAGACGGACGATACGGAGGTCGGTCGAAAGAAGGATGGGCGAAGAAAGACGGGATGGAAAACACGGAGGTCGGACAAAGGGAAATCGGGTGAAGAAAGATGACATGGCAAACACGGAGGTCAGTCGAAAGAAGGTCGGGCGAAGAAAGATGAGACGAACGATACGGAGGTCGGACAAAGGGAAGTCGGGTGAAGAAAGATGAGACGGCCGATACGGAGGTCGGGCAAGAGGAAAGCGGGCTTCACTGACTGGTCTGTTGCTTTTATGCCAACCGACTGGAGGGTTTTTTTCATTTTCATCCGACCACTTCAGTATATATCATTTTGTAGAGAATAATTTTTTAATAAAATAGGAAAAAAATTATTCAGAGAAAAATAATATTTTTTTTTAAATTGGTTGGTTGCACAAATATAAAAAAAATATTTATATAATTGATTATATTTCGTTCTCTCGTTTTTCAATCCCAACTGACTACCTACTGGATGGTTCTCCTCCTTGTAATCCGACGAATTCAGTATATATATATCATATTATAGAAAATAATTTTTTAATAAAATAGAAAAAAATTATCGAAAGAAAAATATATATTTTTTTATAATTGGTTGGTTGCACATATATAAAAAATATATATTTATATAATTTATTATATTTCTTTCTCTCATCTTCTATCCCAACCGACTATTTATTGTTCTCCTCCTTTTTGTTATCCTACCAATTCAGTATATATGTATCATTTTATAGAAAATAAATTTTTAATAAAATAGAAAAAAAATTATCCAAAGAAAAATATATATTTTTTAAAATTGGTTGGTTGTACAGATATAAAAAAATATATATTTAAATACACAGGCTTCAGTTATTTTAAATGGTTTCTTAGCACCATTCGGAGCTAATTTACATAATTTTGGTATACATCAATCACCAGGTAAAACATCTTACGAACGTCAACAAATACAACAAGAAAATTTCTGCCACGAATCTATTTCGACATCACAATTTTCGTCACTAGAAAACCTTAATCCTGAACAACAATTAGTTTATGACGCAGTTATTGAAAAGTTAAACAATCACTTGTCTTTCGTTTGTTTTATTGACGGACCTGCTGGAACATGAAAGACATTTTTTTATACCACTATACTTGCTTATGCAAATAATGCAAAACTTGTAGCAATCGTTGTGGCAACATCTGGGGTAGCAGCCTCTTTATTACCTAATGGACAAACAGCACATTCAAAATTCAAACTTTCATTTAACTTTACTGACAAGCAAGTATGCAACATACCAAAACAATCTAATCTTTCCCAAGAACTAAGAAAAGCTTCAATAATTATTTGGGATGAAATCTCAATGGCACGACGAGAACTAATTGAAGCTCTAGACAACACATTAAAAGATATAACGGATTGTGGTGATCCATTTGGAGGAAAAGTCGTTATATTTGGAGGAGATTTTCGCCAGATTACTCTAGTAATTCCCAACGGGACAAAAGAAATGTTTATTGAGGCAAGTGTGGTTTCTTCTTACCTATTTGAAAATGCAAGAAAATTCCATCTTACTACAAACATGCGAGCAAGACAGGATCCTAATTTTTGCAACTACTTAGAAAGTATTGGCAACAATACATGTCCAAAAAACATTAATGGTGAGGTCAGATTTCCAAAGCAAATACTGCTGAAGTACGCCGACAGAAATTTGGAGTCTCTCATTGAAAATATCTATCCTACAACTCCCTTACACAATCTGTTATCAGATATATTTATAAATCGATCAATTCTTACAACAACGGACCACCTTGTAGATGTTAAAAATAACAGTCTAAAAAAAATGTCTGGAAGAGAAATTATAGCTATAGGTCGTGATAAAACAAAAGATAGTGAACAACAAGCTCATTACGAAAATTATCTTGCTTCTACGACACCAAATGGAATGCCACCACATACATTAAGCCTGAAAGTTGGGGCGCCAATAATGTTGCTTCGTAACCTTGATCCAGCAAATGGCTTGTCAAACGGCACAAGAATGATATGCAAAAAACTAACAAGAAATCTACTACAGGACCAAATAATGACTGGTCCTTGTTCGGGAAAGCTTTGTTTAATACCTCGTATTCCACTGCAGTCAAAGAATACAAATGTATCGTCTATAGAATTTACAAGGACACAGTTCCCTGTCAAACTTTGTTTTGCAATGACGATTAATAAAGCTCAAGGACAAACCTTAGAACACGTCGGTATATTCATAGCCGATCCTGTTTTTATGCACGGACAGTTGTATGTTGGTTTATCCAGAGCAAAATCCTTCTCCTCATCACGTATTATGATCCTACCAAAGGAACCTTCAAACGGTTTTGACAAATGGACTAAGAATATAGTTTACGACAAAATCAAACAATTTGCCGGCATAACATAAACAAGATTGTCATATTACTGGGACCCCCACTGGCAGCGGAGTCGGCTGTTGGACAGTCGGGGCAACAGGCGGAGAAGGTCAGCACATATATTTTGTTACTGTGTAAAGTATCAGGTCAGCACATAAATTCATTTACATGTATGTATGTATTAAAAAACCTCACTAACTAACTAACTCCAAACTGTATGTATTGCAGCAACCGTGTGGTTGATTTGATCAGGCACATTGCAAAGTTTGGCTGATAGACAAACCATTTTTTTTTCTCTCTCTTCAGCATCCCATCCCATCCCCTTGCCTTGGAATGAATAGTCATAGCATATAGATAGATGGATAGATAGATATTCCTTAATTTTGAAGAGCATTTGAGAAACGTTTGGACACAAAATAAGTTTCTGCACTTGGCCTCTGCAATTTTTCTCAGCTATTTTCAGCCCCAGAGGAGAGAAAATTACAATTATCTACTTTA